TGGGTCACAGGCTGCGGGAGGAAGGGCTGGGGGCGGGGAGCAGCAATCCCAGCTCAGGGCAGAGGTGAGCCTGCAAACGCTCCAGCAGAGGATGCCTGCATAGGTGCATTGATCATAGCAGGGGAAAGGGAGGGGAGAGAGGAGGGTAAACAGCAATCCCAGCTGCGGGCAGGTGTGCAGAGGTCACGTTACAAATGTTCCGGCTTGGATGCATGCATAATAGATGGAGCAGAGGCGGGCGGTGAGGAGCCCAGGGCAGCTTTGCAGAGCGGACCTTTGCCCGGCTCCAGCACAATGAGGCTGCCTGGATCCCAGCCCGGGGAAGCAGGGAGGGGATCGCGAAAGGAGGAGCGCAGAGCTCGGGCTTGTGCTGCTGATCACAAGGGCTGCGAAGTGCAGAGGACCGAGCTGCTCCAAATCCTCCTGCCGGTGCTTGGTCGCGCTAGCTCGGCTTTCCTGCCGGCAGCTCTCCCGGCTTCTCCTGCACAGCCGCTGCCCGGGACCACCTCCCCGTAGTGCTGGAAGGGCTGGACAGGACATCAGGCTCCTACTTGTCAATACAGCTGTTGGCATCCATCTCGCCTGCTCTCAGGAGAGTCCAGCCTCTGACACTGCAGCTGCTGCTTTTAGCTGTCTTCCCAGTGGGGTCTGTATGAAACTCAGGATTTTTAACAAATGAGTTTGCCTCTGAAAACAGCTCAGTTTGGCTGGCCAGAGAGGCTCTCCCATGCCATGAGGGAGTGATGAGCTGGTTAAAGGCATTCCAGTCATTTTATACTGGATTTCCACTCACCCTGCTACAGTGTTGGAGGGGGATAGTTCTCATTAAGGGGATTACAAAAGATGGGGGGATATATCCGTCCACACAGTCAGCCTTTGAATTAATCCCTTATTGCAAAAAATTCCAATTTTGCAAAAACTTTTTGGCAAAAAATTCCATATTTTGTATGGGGACTACAAAAGATATGGGAATGCATTCCTCGACACCATCAGCCTTTGAATAAATCCTTTATTGCAAAACATTTCTACAATTTGGGGAATTGGGGCAGAGGATCATATTTAGGGCCAATTAATATATAATACTGATCCTTAGGCAATACATTAGTTCTACAATTAGGCCAAAGGTAAAAGAAAAAACTTGAAGAGCACAAGAATTTATTTTGCACATTTCAAGTCATGCTAAAAATAAAGGCATAAAAACTGCAGGAGCTCTTCAGGATCCTGGTTTTAGGGTCAGGTCAGCCAACGATGCCTCCAGTCATCATGAGTGAGAGCTATTACTGAGCCCTGGTTAAACTTTTGTTCAGTGTTTGCCCTGTTTCCAGATCCCTAGAAAGTATTATAACCACTTTTCTTCTTTAAGCCTTGTTTTTTACTCCCAGGTAAAAAATCGCATGATATCATGTTATATAGAGAAACAACGCCACACTATTTGACTAGCCTGGTGGTGCTTGCATATGCCACGGAAAACCCTCAGCAAGCATTCCCGCTCTCCATTCAGATGGGTGGTGTTCTTAAATTTGGTTGTTGCCCCTCTTTGGGGCATCCCTAACTCGTTTTTACTGTCGTCCAGATCCAAAAACGCAGCCGTTGCTTGGAACGTGCTCCAGCATTCAGACTCGGGGGTTTTAACTAAAAGTCGTATCTCCCTGCAAAAGTTAGTCCACGTGGATTACCATAGGTTGACTCAGAAGATCCTTAGACAGAATATTGATTTCCACAGCACAGGATCACAGAAACAACCTGACAGCACTGTCACTTGTAACCCCCTCAGAAATGAAGCACTTGCTAATTCTTTTCACCTCTTTTGAACCCTGCCATCAGGTTGTCAAAGAGTTGGGGATTGCAACGGTAACTGCAACTGTGTTGATGTATTTCTAGGCATGGTTTAACTCTCACTAGGCACTCTCTTCAGGGTAGATGGGCTTAACTGCTGATTTTGAACATGTAGGTTGGGGGGAGGGTTCTGGCACCGACAGCGCAGGAAATTTCTTCCCTGAAGTCTTCTATGTGCAACAAAATGATGGTCCATGAAAACTGTCTTGTGGATAAAATACTAGGCTCCGTTTCTGGCTCTGACAGATCCATGCCTCAGTTTGTTATCTATAAAATGAAAAAAAAAACCCACTTCTTTCTCTCAGGATGGTGCCGAGAGGACGAATTCAGTCATGTATGGAGTCTCTTGGGACTGGGACATAGAAGCAGTGGAAGGGATGCACAGGACATCCGGCACCAAGTTGCCAATATTGTTGTTGGCATCCATTTCACCTGTTCTCGAGAGAGCCACAGTAATTGGGGCTGCATCTTTAGATGCCATGCTTGCATTTCAGCTATGTCTCCTTAGCCGGCTTTTTCAGTCATCCCTGAAGTGTTCATTTGGGTGTTACTGCCTCCCTTCCTATCCTTATGTTTTAGTACTGGTGCTACCTTCCTGTTCTGTTTCTGGAATAAAGAGGTTGCTCAAGTAAGTAACAGGTTGGGAGGATCAGGCAGCAAACAGAAGTAGATTCCCCCCCCCCGAAATGTCTATAAGCAATTTGTTAGGAGTGATTTATTGTTGCAAGTATGTGCTGTCACTAAGCCAGTTCCCTGCTATCTCGGTGGTCAGGAAGAACTGTCACAATTCAGAATTTAAGCATATGCTTAAATCCAGTCCTATGCATTATGCACATGCTAAAGCCCCACCGATATCAGCTAGGCTTTAAGGTGTGCTTGATTTTTGGTATGTGCTCCAGCACTTTGTGGAATGGGGAGGGCAAAGGCTAAATAAAGATTTGAGCGGATGGATAATCCTTTTCTTATTTGTTAAAATCTGAGGATATGCGTGCTCCAGCTGCAAAGCAAAATGTTATAATGAAAGTCCTGCCTTTCGGTAAAATAATATAGCTCCTTAGAAAATGAAAGAAAAAGTTAGACAGTGGATGCGGGTTGCTTCTAAGTGGCCAAGTTTCCCCAACTTGACTGCTAAAGATTTTGCACTCCTTTCAGTGCATTGTCATCACTGAACTGTTTTTTCCTTCCATGCCCAACCCTTATACTGAATCTCAATGGCATAAGGAGAAAAATGGTTATTCATCATTACATAGATGTATGATGGCACAAAGGAGAACTGAGACCTGCCCTTCCTTGAAACCACTGTTGCAGTAGTAAAAATTGAACCTAGAAAACATACATTATCTTTTGTCCAGAAAAAAACATTCACGGCCAAATTCTGCTATTATTTACCCTGCTGCAATTGTACTGACCTGTCCTTTCTCAAGCCTGGTTTGAAGTCATTTGAGCCATCTTGGCTGCTCACATAACTGGTTAAACTCCTTCGAGGCTTGGGTCAATACAATTGAATGGATGTAAAGATGGGCCTAATCCAGAAATCCACTGAGATCAATGAGACCCACATTAGTGGGTTTTGGATCAGGCCCTAGATGCAGAATTTGGCACAATAAATTTGATCCAAAGGAAAATAG